TTTAAATGACAATATATTGATCTTCAAGAAGTTTGTGCTAAATAGTCATTATCTACGTTTTTGAATTCAAATTGCTACTCTGTTATTTCGTAGATATGCAAAGATTTCCGTATGAAAAAGCGCATGCCAAGTATATATTTTCGGAGTACAAAAGTAACAAAATTGATTTTCAGAATTACATCGTGCTATATTGCGATCACATGAATACAATAAAAAAAAATCCAGTGCATTGTCTTTTGGATTTATGCATTTTGTAAACGTTAACTTTGTGAAACAACAGACCCGGCAATGGCCACGTTCCTCCCCAGTGGTCACCCTACCGGTCAAGCAAAGTGCCCTTACATGTTTTCGGTATTTGTAGAACACTTTCAATCGTTACTTTCAAGGTCTTCATTGAAGTGATCCTTTGCTTCAAAGAATCTAATTGTTCTTCCCTGTGACGGACTCTAAGTCTTGTCAACGCTTTTGAGAGGTACTCCTGTTTATTGACCTATAGAACCTTAGACCACTGCTACAGTTTTCCACTTGAGGGGTCTGAAATGATCGGTATTTATAGATACTTGTACCATTCCTCATGAGGGACTCATTAAGGTATACGGTGTGAGGGTCTGTGCTTTTAACGTGTGTTTAAACTTGCAATCACCCCGAAAAGTTTATCATCAAAAAAACATTTTCCTGACTGTTTAGATCGAACTCCAGTTAATTTCTGTGAACTTATCACATTTGATTCCTATCATTTGGCTTTCATGATATTTTTTTAATTAATTTCTTTTATCTGCGATCATTATTTCTTCACACACTTTGTTGATTGTCGGTAAATATCTTTCTTGGAGCACTTTAACGTATTTTTTTGTAGATTCCTAAAATGTTTGTTCTTGGTTTATATCTACATTGTGAATGACCTTGAAATCACAGTAAGCTTGGCGTTGGTAAAATCAAAAATAACTACATAACTACTTTCATAATATATGCATGTAAGTATATATATAAGTACTGTCCTCACTGGTGACTTTGTTCAGTTAAATTATCAGATCAAATTCTTATTGGTCCGTTTCAATATACTCTGTCTTTGGCTTTTCCTGTTACGACAGTTTGTATGCTGTTGTATTAGCAACCAAGTTTAATTTAATTTGTCATCTTAGTAAAAAAAAATCTTATTAAACATTTTAGGCAGAAAATTGAAGCGGACCAAAAGTATTATCATGATAACTCGTAATGATAATCTTCAAATGATTGGTTTAATCAGGAACTGGTCAAGACCGTTGTTTATTTCCTTAATATTGATTATTAGTGGATTCAGTAGTGGCCACGTCTCCACGCAGTGGACATTGTAGTGGTCAGTCTTATGTCCTTGGGAGATACCAGTATTTGCCTAACACTTTTATTTATTACTTTCAAGGTCTCGACAGAAGTTAAATCATTTTTCACATAACTGAACAAATTGATGTCGGAGCTGTTTATCACATTTCGTGTGTTTATTGCCTATAACCTTGAACCAATGTTCAGAATTCGGAGGTTTTTGATGATTTTCATCTCATTGTTCAAATTCTTGTATTTAATCCTTCGAAAAACTTCTTAAGTTAAAAAAAAGGTTTTGAGTTGTACATGTACTTTCACTTGTAGTCACCCGAAATAGATGAATCTGTGTTCATTGATCAAATAAAGTGATTCTTTTTGACAGTCTTGTGTGATTTTTATTTAGTTCTACTATCTATAAGTTATCTAAAGCCACCCAGATTGTTTTCAACGACAAAAACACACACACGAATCTGATGATGGATGATATTAAGGTTAATTTTGTAAACATATGCTAAAAATAAAATTTTAAACATTTATAATATATCTCCCTAGTAGAAGTCATAGAGAAGTCAAGAAGAAGGTGGATTATATACATAAACTCAGCAAGGTGTAAAAAACATAATTTATCAAATCATTATGTAAATTACTCAAAACATGAGAGACTTCACGACCTTGTCATCGGAGCAGAGGTTCAATGATCTGGTCAAAGAAACAAGAAAAAAAACAAACTTAGGTCAGCTGGAGATATCGCTCTCTATTCTTTTTCTTCAATACGAATGTGATTTATAAAACAAAGACAAAGCGACTTTTGGTGCCACACACGAGTTAAAAAAAATGGGTTTGCTAACATGCCCATTTTAATACGAGTTTCTTTTTAAACTGTGCAGTTGTCAAAAATTGTTAGCAATCTTGAATGATCCAAGTTCAAAATTGAAAAAAAAATCAGTATTATAAACTGTAAATTAACGGTAATTCTTATCACTTTTGCTTCTCTGTGTCCTTGTGCATATTACTTAATTCAATGAATTCACAGTAGTTATCGATTTTTGATTTTACTCAAGTACATTATTTCATCAAATTTCGATAAAAAGGTTAAAAATAAAGCAAATAAGCTTTGTACACAAAAACCTCCCCCACAATTTGAGACAACGTCGCTGTCGATAATTCATCAAACGTTCTAATTCATTTAATAATTTCATACTGAATTCTTGTCAATGTCAATTATTTTTGTTATTTACAAAACAGAGCAAAACAATGAGAAAAAAAAACAGAGATTAATGAATTATCTTTGTTGTAAATCCTATATATTTGTTTTCCATCATTTCATGTCGCCCCGACATAGATCATCAATCATGGCCGCCTACATCAGTCTTAGCTTCACAGAGGTTTGGTGTTCTCCTCCTCGAGCTCATGGGAGCACAGACACACAAAACATCGACAAAATGCCTCAAAAAAAATCTAAAGCTGACAACCGTGAAACGCCCGCAATAAAAAGATTACACACTGCATTTTACTTAATCATTTTTATAATCGTTTTCCTCTCCATCTAATTGGCTACCAACACAAGGAAGCAAGTTCAATTGGCAATGAAAATAACTAGATAATTTGTACTTTAGCTTTTCGATTACGCCAACTGCAAAAATAACATCTTGCATGAATGGGGGAGCCAAAAATAGAGCATAAAGAATTTAAATGATAGTGTTAAGAAAATATCACGGCCTTCCTGACTGCTTCGTTAGAAATGTGTTTTGTTACTCCCGAGTTTCTTTTTCTGGTTTTGCAGGAAGACGTGTTATTACGAATCTAAAAGTAAACTGGATAAATAGAAAAATTCTTGGCAGGGGATGAAAGACAACACTGTTCAATGATTCCCGGAAATAAGTTCCTCGTCTTTCTACACCCGCCTACAACAGAAGGCTAATTGTTTTGTGTTCTTTGCCATCTGTATACCTTCCCTTTAGAATTCTGCCCTTTCCTTACCCCTGAAAAAAAATCCTGAAATTTTTGTTTTGAACTTCGTGTCTGCTGTATTAACATTAGTTCTAAAAAAATATTTCTCGTGTGAAGAGATTCCATGTTTCAATTAGTAATACTCCTACAGAAATAAAAGTGACAAAATTATACAATATATGATGTTCCTTTCCAGAAGAGATTAATTAATTAATTTGATAGGTTTAATAGATATATGAATATATTGTACAGGATAATCAAGGAACCTTTAAAATTATACATGTACCAACATAACCGTCACTTAAGAAAGTTTAAAAAAAAAATATCAGATTTCCAAACTTGAAACATCAATATCATACTACATCTTGTAGTGAATTTCAATCTAAAGTTGAAAATAATTACATGACATTAATATGTGATGTAATTTTTTCACCTACAGATTGAAAATTAATAAATTCAGCGTACAATGTGCTTTGACAAAAACAGAACTCTCTACAACCCCAACCCAGTAGCCTTGAACTTTGAGATATAACCGACAACGAAGTGTAAACCAAAATTGTATTTCTCCCAAGGGAGAGATGTAACAAGATGCAAGTTTTAGCATAATTAATTTGATAAAAAAAAACATAGTGTGATCAAATAGCTATTTTTGACCCGGGTTATGTTTAAAGTTGTTAAAACAAGACCAATATGAAATCTCCATCGGTTTCAAGACTTTGATCTATTAAGCATAAAGTATGCGGCATTTCTATATCATAATAAATATATGGACGAAACACAGTATGGGTTCTATATAATTCATAACCAGCCTAGAAATAGCTTACGATTAGATTATTAGATAAAACAGAAATAAAATAGCCAGTAATAACCTGTAATCGTTTTATTACTAGCCTATTTCAAAGGATTGTAACTGCAAAGTAAACATATAGGCAAGTTGTTTTAGAATCCTAATCCCAATAGACAATTTTTAATCCATGTGCTTTCAAAATATTGCATGCCGTGTAGCACGTGTGAAAACTGATATATCGATTTTTTTTCTACGTGAAAAAATAACTACATTGTACAACCTTATTGCGTAAGGTTAATGAGGTGGACTAAATTTAAAGGGAAAATAAGCAGAAATTAAAACTGCAACATTATTTATATTTTATTGACAAGTTCCTTGAATGATAGCCCAATTATTCTCAGCCATAAAATTTTAAAATCGATACAAATTACTTTTCATTAAGTGCCTGAGCTATATATAATGTTTTATACATGTCTGACAACGGAGCAACGTATGAAGGTATTCTGTCCCCTTAATAAGATTCCAGGAGGTATTGTATCTTATGCCTTCGCGCAGAGAGGTTCAAAACATTTTCATTTTAAAAAAAGTCTTAGATCTATTTTTAACAACTTAATATTAAAGTAATTCCAATTCTTCAAGATTTCAGGAAGTATCTAGCATTCTTCGGATTAGCGAAAATACCATAGTACTACAAGGTATTTCCCTAACTCGGTTGTCAGCTCTTTATTGCTTGTATAGGTCAGAGTATATATAGCTAAGATGAAAAATAAAACTAATTATACTGTATTAACCGGCATCAAAGGATACCTTCAAAAATTTCTGTGGATAAGGCCCACGGTTTTTGTACTACTCTCTGAAGCGTAGCGTGATAAATCCTTTTATTAAATTAACTTTTTATTACCTTCCCCACCCGCGATATTCTAACATACATTTAAAGTACACAAATAAAAGAAAACATATCAGATTCTGTCAAATGTATTATTTATTCAAATCATACAAAAGTACAATATGAATCAACTGAAGTTTACGATGAATATTGATTTAAAGGTCTTCATGACATTAACTAACAAGTCGATGCTAAGCTTCTCTCTTTTTTTATTACCAGGAACTAGTATACAGCAACGGAAAAACCAAGTGCACACCTTAAAATAAGTGCAAGTGTTCTACCGCATTTGGTCAGATCAGGACACATGCTTGGGTCAGTTCCAAACTAGTCCAAAGGTTGCTGCATTGTCCTTTGAATGACAGTCTTATCAGCGTTTTCCCAACTTGAGTAACACACACCCGCGAGTCCTTGACCAGCACTTTCTCGGTACAGCGAGGGTCTTGTGAAACAGACGTATGGGGTATACGTCCTCGAAATAAAACCTAAGTCATATTTCTATAAAGTTCAGCGTCCCAGCACTCGGCGGAAAATATTCCCCATCTTCTTTCTCTGTTTCAAAGCTGTGAGTACAACGTTCTCAAACACCCTCTGCACACTTTCCATGTCTGAAGACGAACACTCGACATAACGATCGGCGCCAATTTCCTTGGCCATTTTATGTCCCTCGTCGATAGTGACACTGACCCCTCCCAGGGTCGAGCGGGTGTCTGTCTGGGTAGCCACTACGATAATAGGAACACGTTTTCCCAGAAAGTCTTTGACTTCAGGTGCCCAAAATTCCCTAATGCTCTCAAACGAATCCCTGTCCGAGACCGAGAAGCAGAGGAGAAGAACCTCGCTGTCTTTATAACTGAAGGATCTTAGCTCCGTGTATTCGTGCTGAAACAAGAAATAAGAGAAATGTCAGAGATACAAATTACAATATTCCAATACTTAGATTTACCATTACTGTCAAAATTTAAAATCTATGCTATAAATTACAGTTAAATCTAAACCTGAAAGGTAATATACATCACCTTAAAGGTAACAATGAATTGATGCTTACCTCTCCTGCAGAATCAAAGACGCTGACCACATATTTGTCTCCTCCCACCGTGGAGTTACCGGCATAGTTATTAAACACGGTGGACACATACTCCTGGGGCATGCTTAGTCCAGAGAAAACCTCCGAAAGGCATGTTTTCCCTACCATACCGTCCCCGATCACTGTACAATTGATAGGTTTCTTCATATCGCTTAGATGAACCATTTTATTTCCTCACACAGACAATAGCAAAGACACAGCGCCTGCTTCTGATTCAATTAAGTAATGATATAAATAGACGATATCGCACAGTTTTTAAACGTACGCCAAGTCATGGGATTCGCGGGCAGCCAATCATGTGCGAGCTCACGAGGATCTAATTCTGATTACCTGTATAAAGATTTTACCTTTGTAACGAGGTGTGTCTTTTGTTTGTATTTACTATCAATTTTTCTGATAGTCCTCATTTCTGGAACTTCCGTTTACGTCCCGACTAATGATGCAAGAACAATTAACTAAATGTTGAACGTTCTTCGGCAAAGGTTGTCATTTAGGACTCTGAGTAATCGACAAAAATGATTTCTGATATTTTTCAAATAACTTTTTTTTAAAATCAACGATGTCATACTATTATCTTAGTTTTTTTTACATAATTAATCTTTGCAAACTTTATTAAAATTGAAATAGAAATTTTGTTCATAATTCTACAATTTTCTGTTTATCGCCTTCACATAAGAATGTGCATCTTTAATAGAGAAATATAATCGTTATCACGTTTTCCTTAAAAATTTGACAAGTACATGTACAAATTTCTTTAACGATTTGACTTGTTCTGAAAATTGATAATAACAGAATTCTTGAATTTGTGTCAAAGTAAACTCTTCTGCGGTCAAAATCACTGCTGTTATTCTGTAGAGATTTTTTTTCTTCTATGATGTTGACGTTAATTAGATGTATTGGGTGTTGTATTACATTTTTTATTGAGAAATCGACATATTGAATGATTTAATTATTATTTTATAAATATGTACTCTCGTCCAAATTTAAAACTAATTGGCTCCAACCTGCGGTCAGTTACCTAAAGATCAAGACCTTTGATGTGGTGCCTTCAGTCTTTTTACGCAGTGGTAATGACCTATACGTGCAGATTTGGTCATTTTTCTAGTCAGGTACTTACCTGTGTCTTCTTAAAATTGCCCGAATCCCGGGAAATTAAGAAATCGGGTTAAGTTGTTTTTCGCAGAAATCACTGTGCATGTTTGTCGACCAGGTAAACACAGATTGCGATCGAGCTATGCAGATGTATTTATTTGAATAAGTTGTATGCATTAAGTGCAGTCAATTGATAGTTTAGAGGTTTTTATCGTTTATTTACGTCCCAGTTTTCATCGGGAGTTCAACCTTGAAGTTTTTATTCTCAAAACATCATAGAAAACGCAACTTGATGAATCGATATTCATAATTACTAGAAATACAGGTAAAAAAAAAAATCTAATTTATAAAATAACTTTATAAAAAAAAAATAAAAAATAAAAAAAATTAAAGTAAGTTAAAGTAAGTTAAACTTAAAGTAAACTTAATGAAAGTAAAAGCTATTTGTACATTTTTTTCTCTATTTAAATAACGTATTCATTTAAAAAAAAACACAATTTGAATATAATTAAAATCAGCTCACACACATCTGAAAAGTAAAACATATGTAAAAGTACACCATGAACATCTAATTAATTTGTTTAATGTCTAAGTTTACGCGTATGACTAAATACATAATTATATCGTGAAGACGGATGTTTTTCTATAGGGCTGGATCCAGCCTAGTTTTAAGCACTTCGTTTCCAAAATAGACAATAAAAATTCAATTTTTATGTGTCAGGGCAATAAAATGCAACACTGAGGGCCTGAATTATACACAATTACACACACAGAGTCAATATCATTATAGGGGCGTCCTAAAAAAGATACTCGATATATTTCTTAAGGAAGTAAAAATATGGCGATAAATTATCTTTTAGAAAGCTTTTCAAACGTGAAATGAAATATTCTATTTCTAGAAATCAAATCTTGTTAAAATGAAACTGTTTAAAAGAATTAAAGCACTTTTAGTTTGTTAAAAGAGAAAATGCCTACTTTACAAAAACGTTTTATCTATAACAAGAAAACAGGCCACCCCTTTACTGTGAAAAAGTCACACAGCTCTCAATATTTTATCTCTACAGGTACATCTAAAATAAATATAGACATTTTCTCACTTCCTAATGTTGCATAGAACATTTGTAATATCGAATCAGATAACCCAATGATACCGCATTTCTTCGTTATCAGCAAGAGAATTTCCGAAATTGTCCGACGAATCTATGAATGAAAATTGCTGCACTTTGTATTATAGCTATCGTTTATCTGAGTTCCTGCTGTCGTTTGGTGCAGAATCCCAGACGAGATCTCGCAGACACATTTCATCTTTTCTCTGCACCTTTTTACACATTTTCTATCGAGTTCAAACAATCTTGCAATACATCTTAAGAGAGTGATAAATAATGCAATTAACAAATATCTCGTTTTAAACTGTACTTTTAATGTTTCTTTTCAAGTGCAAAGAGAAATGAAACAGAAAGACATAAGATGTGGGAATGGAATCACATTCAGAAAATGGGTATCGTAGGCTGAAGTTCTTTTTGTTATTGAGGGATATTTCAAGTATCATTTAGTTCAACCGTTCTTTTTGCCAGCCTTGAAATAAAACAGTTTATTTTTACTATAGCCCTGATTGAAAATATAAACAGTTATATATATATATATATATATATATATATATATATATATATATATATATATATATATATATATATATATATATACATATATATATATACATATATATATATACATATATATATATATATATATATATATATATATATATATATATATATATATATATATATATATAAAGCACTAAAAACCAACAACACTGTATATCCTAAGTGTCGGATCTACTAAGTAGATACAAGGTCACGGATGGAAATTTATATAAAGCACTAAAAATGACCAACGACACGAATAATAATAATTGTTCGTGTCGTTGGTCATTTTTAGTGCTTTATATATATATATATATTCATTGAGCGATGTTTTATAAAAACGCCCCATTTTAAGGGTTAAAATGATCAGTCAAAAGTGTTTCAACATAATTTTAGTTCAGGACGCGACTCTTAATTTTTAAAATGATAAATTGTTCTTTTTGTCTTGGTCAATTAAGAGTGATATCTTTCTAAATGCTTCTTAATATTACAAGTATCATAGTTTGACATTGTTTCGGCGGATCATTTCCTAGATGAACTTTAATTTAGTTTTTTAAAACAGACTTTGATGGAAAGGTGCAATTTAAAAAGAGATTACGAATACATCGTAAGCAGGAAAACTTTTTTTTCTTCTAAAATATACATTTAATTATATACATGTACTTCTATAAATAGATTTACACCGCATTCATAATGACTGGCAGAATGTATATTAAATCGCTCAGTTAAATTTATAGGGGATTTTTCTTAAATTTGTTAAAAAATTGTAATTATTTAGTAAATGGTCATTGTTAGCTTTTTGTAAATACAAAACAAAGGAAATCGCAGTTCATGTACATCAGAAGAACAATTAAAAAATCGATTCGAAAGAGATGCCCTCTAAGGCGCCCACCGAGACAGTGGGTGTTGCTCATATTAGAGCATCCTTTAGCAAGATTCCCCACGGAACAAATTTCTCTGAAAATTCCAGAGTGTAAGCTCACAACAATATAAATCGATTTCTCCCAGAAATATACGATAAATGTATACATGTATAGGGATATATATTCTATAATGGAAGAGCTACAATCGGGAAAATTCCCATACAAAAATTGGTTATATAATCATTTACAGAGTCAGTGAGGTATTAAGAGGCTTCCTTGATAATGGAATTTAATATCATTGAACTATGGAACTTTTAAAGTGTTGGTCTTACTAATTAACAAAAAAAGGCTCTCTGTGGGGGGCTTTGTTTAGGACCAAGGTCGACCGTTCCGTGACGTGAATTGTGTTTTGATTGTAATTTAAGATGACCCCCTCCACTGATTGGCAAACTTTCCATTCCTCTGTACAAAGGGGAAATATTCTAGAAACTACGTAAGGTTAAACTTTATCAAAATTATAACTTAATATACAGGCTTCATATCTGGGGTTATCTTCACTGTCTTTTCAGATGTTTTCGATAAATCATATGATACTTTGAATGATCTGATATCGGTTCTTATTAAGAAAACACTAAAAAGAAACAAACAATAGGCATGCTTTTAAATGGCAGTATCTCACGTTAATTATGTTGAAGTAAACCATCATCTGTTTTCCCGTAATACTTTGTATAAAACAAAATAAGGTTACAAAAATATGAAATATATTTTTTCCCGAGACATGCAATCATTTTAAATCCACCTTTGAATTTCCTTCATATAATATATGAAGGCGAATGAAGAGGGTTCTCTTTTTAACGACATTAACAGATGGAATCATTTAAGTTTGATTATAAATTTGCATATTTTGTTGTTGCTACAGGGGGGAAAATAAGTGTATGGATGTTTTACATATTATTTTAAAATTTCTAATTTGTGATAAGTTTTTTTTTAAATTTTTTTTTTTAAAAAATCATATTTAAATTGTATAATATCATTGCATAAACTTTGAAAAGAAAATCTACATGTTATAAAAATCTGAAGTCCGAATTGAAAAAGAAACGCGTTCCTCAAATCCACACCAAAATGGAAAAAGTTACTGGAAAATCTATAACACAACACGAACTTTCTCTTCTGGAAACGACAAAACAAGTTTCACACTTCATGATCAACCGTGTTTTCAAATGCTTGTTACTTGTTAGACCATTTAACATTTGAAGGAAAAGCATATTTTGTAATTCAAATTTCACATAAATTTTGCTTAATTTCCCGTGACCATAGAAATAAGACTGGAATTAGCATACACATATATCCCACTCATTTCACTTAATTTTCTGATAAAATCTTGCACTCTTTTGATGAAAAGATGTGTATTGAGTAACGCTATAATACATCAAAAAGCAACAGTAATATCAATCAATGTTTTATTTGCTGAATTTGAAACATAATGCAAATATGTATATATATTGATATCTTTAGTATGAGAGTTCATTTTTAAGTCCATCAATCTCGTGCCTTATCCCACGCATCACGTGCATGCGCCCCATACATCAAAGTGTATTAACCTAGCATCATGATATTCCATTCAGGTGGTGCAGGCTGCAGTAACTGTAGTTTCTTCCAGTTTCTCGGGTGAAACTTGAATTGTTATTTTTTTCAGCGTCCAGTAATCCTTTTAATGACATTGAAAAGCCCTTTCTTTTGTGCCAGAGCAGTAGATACGACACTCTCAAATACCTGGTGGATTCGAACTTTGTCTTTTGAGGAACACTCAGTAAAACACTTTCCACCAATCAATTTGCACAGTTCAAAGCCTTCATCAAATGTCACGTGATCAGGGTCATCACCTTCTCTAAGATCCACGTGTGTGGCCACAAGGATGATGTTTTGTCTCTTATTCAGGTTTTTGATGGATGGTATCCAGAAACCTTTTGCATTCCTGAAAGATTCCCGATCCACAACACTGTAGCAGACGACAAAGACATCTCGGTTTTTATTTGTTGTCCTTAAAAAGTCCATTTGGTGCTGCAATATAGCAAAACAAAAAACAAAATTAAGTACATTTTCTTTCAATTTTTTTTAATCAGATTTCAACGGTAATATCCAATTCAAAGCATAAATTGTTTTCCAAAAATAAAAATATTTACCTCTCCACCAAAATCTGTAATGTTGACCAAATAATGGTCTCCATAAGCTGAGACGGAAGCAACGAAATTCTCCACCACTGTCGCCAAATATCCTTCAGAAGGTACTTTGTTCACAAAGGTCTGGATGAGACTCGATTTTCCTACCATCCCATCCCCAACTACAGAACAGCCGACAGACATCTTAGACACAACCATGTTGTTTCAGGCTTGTTTGCAGCTAGAACAAAGTTTGTTGCAATGATTTCAATTGAAATGAAAGCATGTATTATATAGGTATTCAATATCTCCTGGGGAGCAATGTCGTAGTTCTCTCCATTGTTTTAAGTTCTCTTGGGGTGTATCAAATTTCCTCTCTCCCGTGTTGAAATTTATACCCCCTTGTGTAAATTGTATATACTCTGCAAGAGCACGTAGACTTATTCCTTTGAAAAAGTAGGTCATAATTAATGCGCAGTTATTCAATAGAACTTTAATGCAAATGCATAACTTTTATACAAAATCTTGATGTTGCTTTTAGAAGCACAAATATTTCGTACTACATAACCTGGCCCTGAGAATACATAGGAATGTGCTTATCAATTTTGTATACAGGCGCTTCAGCATGATTATAATTAAATGGTCAAATGAATTCCAACAGTCCGTATTGAGCGACAGCCGCGGAATGTCTTCCTGTTTGGCGCGTTAAAAGGCATTAAATGCTGGTATGTACTACTGATTGTACCAGGAGTAAATCTGTCACCTTTCTTCTCAGTAATTTGATAAAACTAAACATAATAAATCACTTAGTATTTATAAATTACATAAACTTTCCCGGGAAATTTTAACGTTGAATTTTCTAAGACGCGGAAGAAACTTGATGACTGTCAAAAACTGAGTGCAGGGCTGCAGTTGATGATTTATGAAATGTTTAAATTTGAGGGACTTTCTATGGTTCGGTGTTTTTTGTTTTAATCTGAATAAGGAAACAATGGTTAGCCAGAGCCCACAACAAGGACATATCGATAGCGTTGACCTTTTTCGTCAGTTCCTTATAGACAGTGTTGCCAGAGTCTTCGCGACGAGGTGCACTGCATGTACATGGTTTTCGATGTTTCTTATTTCAAACTTGACTTCACATGGAAAACCTCCCTGAAACCTAATTCCAATAATAATGCCATTCGACCAATAAGGATGTACAATCTACGATCATTATCCTTTTTCACGGTAGTGATTTAGAAAGTATGCCTTTTAATATTTCAATTCATCAATACTTCTGAACTTTTAGTCCTTTTTTGTTTGATTGATTGATTGTATGTTGTTTAACGTCCCTCTCGAGAATTTTTTTTTTCTACTCATATGGAGACGCCACTACTTGCCGGTGGAGAGCTGCAAATTTTGTCCTATGCTAGGCACTTACGGCCATTGAGCAGTGAGGGGTCTTTTTCGTGCCAGCACCTACTGCGACACGGGACCTCGGTTTATACGGTCTCATCCGAAGGACCGGTCTCCACGTCCCACAGTGGGATTCGAACCCGCGACGAAAGGATCAACTCCTTACTTCGCGACTCTTAGTCCTTTTTTGAAAAACAAAATTGCTATGAATATGCGGTCTAATTTTAGGTGAATATAAGTGTATGAACCTAGTACAAAAATCTGAAGATAGAGCTATAAAGAGAGTAAATTTTGATATCTATTATATTTTCATTTAATCTGCAATGGCTATCAATTATAAATACATTTAGCAAATGTGACAATGGTTTGATTGCCTCCTTTGTTTTTGAACTGGTAAAGAAAAATCGCAAGTAATATGTTTCTTTTTATTTTGATATTCTTTTAATATATTTCCACTTTTATGAAAATTAATGGATATAAAACCTGATGCTCATTAATTTTATTCTAAAACTTTCTGATTTACAAATGATGTAACATTTGTTTTATGTTATATACTTTTCCACACCGACCTTACAAATTAACGAGGCAAACCGTACTCAATGCACCAGATTTATGCTTAGAGAGTTAACAAAGAAAATAACAAAAAACAAATACACTTTTGAAAAAATATAAACACAAAAAATTTCTCTGTATAATGCGATGACTTCTGAATTTTGTAAATTGCTTCATCATGGGTTCGTGAAGTACCGATTTAAGATCAACCGAAAGACAGTCAATACAAAGCAACAGATAAAATACACCGCAAACTTTTATTTCAACAGCCATACTTCTTCAATATTATACTCAAAATACGAGTCTTTAAGTCCAGAACTAGGATCACTGCGTTCTAACATCGTCTGTCTTCAACTAGTAAGAAAGATTGCGGTTTTAAAGCTTCAGTTATTATCTTAAGTGGCTAACCTCTTCATTAGCATTTGTTGTAGGGAATGACTACTATCTTCCCTCTTTCCATAACCCTGTTTATTCAGGGTTAAATGTGTATTCAACATAGGCAGCTCAAGTGTCAGTTAAATACCCAATTTTGAATGCATCAAAGTGTGGTATTGTATAAGAACTGCGCTTTATGTAAAAGTCAGACAAAATGTAGAGGAGGTGATTTTATCATGGGTGTCTGTTGGAATCAAAGAGGAAAAAAAGACACACTCCGGGCAGGCGCGACAACCACATATATCTATAACAATCAAAAAACACAAAAAAGAGGGAAATATTTCCACGTTACTATGATTTTTACAAAAACTTATGATAAATGAATTTAAACTCGACATTTTTGTATTGCAAAATTTGCAGTTGCTCATTTCATTTATGATTTTTACATGAAAAAAAAATATTTTATCTAAAGAGATCACTAAGATAGCACAAACCATATAAAGTGCATTTTTTTTTACATAATTTTTTAAATGTACTATTAGAACTTTGCAGAGAAATAGATTTAGACAAATACATTGCATGGAAAAGGCGGGATATGAAATTTATTTTTAGTTTTTGGACCACCAACGTAAACGATGCTAGCAAGAGGTAACTAAGTGATCTAGATCGTCTACCCGATGACTAAGACGATTCCGGAAACCCAGAACCTTATCAGTGTGATGAATATCAATTCAATTGAATAAAACATAAAATATATCTTTGAACTCCACAAAAAAAGTAGAACAGGCTTTTAAGGGGACCGCACCTTTTTTTTGTAAAATAAATGATTCCAAACCCTCTTCCATCTATACTACATAAAGTGACATGTACAAATCCTGAGCAAATACGGTAGAGACGGACAAAATACAAACCAAACACGGAGCACCATTCACCGGATCACCGGAATAGTTAACTCATACAATGGAGGGGTTTTATGTACATCTTGTGGCAGACCGTAAATCAGTAAGACACACAGCCTAAAAAAGACGGCACCATTGTAGACCAAGATAAGTCCACAATGCGGGGCGCCGTAAGAAGCAATTGGAAATACACGATAAATACTTTGTCAATATATTAAACAATTTGTTGTCGTTTGGTTTGGAGAACCGTGCTACTATTGAGAAATCAAGTTATAATCAAACATTTACTAGTACTACTTACAGAAATTTCATTCATGCTTTTTCCAATCCTTCATTCATATAGTCATTTATAAAAATGAAAGATCAAATAAGTTGCAATGCGTAGCGAAAGATGTCCGAACAAAAAAGTAATATAGTTAACTATATAGTTTACTATAATAGTTAACTATAGTTTAATATCGTATCAAAGTTTTTTCACTATAGTAAATCAAAGTATTTTTACTATGGATTTCAGAGCGTTATATTTTTTGTTCTTCAATTCATACCTGCACATTTTTATACTAAATTGAAATATTATTTGTATATTCACACATTATTTCCAAATTCTACATTACTGTTATCGAATTTTAGAGATTTTAAGCTTCGAAATCTCAAAAAAAAGTTTCAAAGTAAAGTTTCATAGTAAATCAAAGTATCAAAGTTTTCACTATAGTTAACTATAGTAAATTTTTTGTTAGGGTAGGTTCTAATCTTACTAACGCTATTAAATTGTTTTGGAACAACACAGTCACAGTTTCTGACATGCAATATGGCACTCTAATTCAAGAAAATAGCCAGAAATACCAAAAACATCTATTCTGCTTAAAACTGGATTAAATCAGTTGGAGGGTGAAATATAAATAGGGAACATTTCTGGCACAAACCCCGACTAGCAGGTTGAAATCTTGCAATAAAATATACAAAGTTACAAAGTATGTACGATACAGGAGAAAAATAAACATCTAAATCTCTTGATTGTGTCGTAATATCCAATAAAAACTACTCTCTACATCTTGATTAATCCCAATCCAGCCGGATTTCTCTAAACAAATTTCAGAACTTCGTAGAACAATTAGGTTTGTTTGTTACAAATTAATGTGAAAAAACCCAGAAAAATTAAAAGTAGAGATTTTTCTTACAGTTCAGGTGCTGCAATTTCAGTATCTTGGAATGAAAAGGTAAATTTTCAAAGTACATGTACAAAATATTCCATCATCCGAGAAGTCATTTTCTCGGTAAAAATCTTATCCCTGTATTATTTATTATAATCATGTAATTTTCATGTGTATATTACAAAGTTTTCAAATTCTCCTAATTATACATAAATTGTCGTGATTAGAACTTTTAAGCGATCATTTTGAAGAACACGCCTACTCATATATTTGGGTTCAGACAGAGTTGAACACGTCTTTGACTTGCTTTTGGATGTCACCTGTTCTGGATGTCACCTTTGTTTTATAATTTAATTAATGGACGATTTGACACACTGACATACTGGTAATTGATAAAATGATAATCAATGAATTAAAAGTACTTTAGGATGTCTTTTCGTTTTGAAAAAAAGTGTACTTTGATTGGATGTACTGCTTTTCATACATGTATAATCGATCTATTTTAATAGTATTTCTGATGTACTTGCCAAATGTAGAATGAAGTTGAAATAAAATAAAATATTTGTAGTAAGTGGCGTGCTATGTATACTTAAATTTGAATATACTTGTTTGATTAAGAATTATAATGAAGAGCACCGAATTCAATCAATTCAAGGATATCGAAGCTTTCCACTTATGTTTACTGATACAACAGATGCACAATATGGAACTTTGTTGTTGATGAGACCAGGTATTTTGCGCAGTGTGTAATCTTGGCTACAGTTTGTGATAGAATTGATGCCAGTTAAAGCTCCTTCTTCAATCAGCATTGAGTTGTTACGTGATAAAAGTCAAACACATTATTATTCCAGTAAACAACTAGCACTGCAACAGGGTACCAAACTGGAATCTTTATCCAATCTACCAAACCATTAGCGTTCCGACACCTGCTGTGTTTTCTCCTGTTTTGTCCACCAGAAAGGTGACGGACCAAGTATCCTTTAATGCTCATGACCTTGGGAGGAAATCCTAAACTAACTCAGAGCGAGAGCGGTTCTTCCACGGGCCTTGTACTTTACCCTCCCTTACTAAAAGTACCCAAGACAATTCACGTGATATGTAAACGTGGACTTAGTCATATATCAAATGTTAGAATCGGACAGTGGTCAGAGGTTATAAGAACTTGCTAAAATTCTCGATTTTGGTAACCTTGTTATTTGTTTCTAACTACAGAGACGAGGGAATTTTGAAAACTGATAAATGCAATAAGCAAACACGATTTTGCTTTGATGACCTATGGGGGACACAAAAAAGCCAACTACACGTTAAGGTTGATCGGTATTCTAACTTAGAAACATCGTGTTTTCTTGATTCCAATATTTAAAATACTTTTCATTGTTCTTTGAAACCCATAACTACGCAGTATGACCCCCACTCTTTTCTTGGTATCTGCATTTATCAATTTCGTCTTCCTCAGACAACCGACTGTAGACTAAGAAATAATGATACTTAAAAGGTAAAAGAAAATAATTTTCATTGCATATTATTCATTCCGTAGACAAATATGAGCTTAGACTTAATCCGCTGTACCCTGTTACCTGCAATGACTACACAGTCTTGCTGTGAGAAGAAGACACATTCACAGGGATCAAAACAGAACAAATTTATGACCTAAATACTTGTTTAAATTGTATTTGAGCGATGTCATCTGTAATATACACACAATAAATAGCCCAGGCCTGCTTTGGCTTATTATCAAATGGACCTGTTCCTTCAGGAGTCGACGAACTTCAGCAGTCGCTTATAAGCCCGGATCTTCACACTTCTTAATATACTTAATGAGCCTGTTTTGTTGAAAAGATAAGATCCTCGAGATTTAAATAGATATTATTTAATACCTTTATTTATAACGTTTATAAATTAATATGATAAATGCACCAATTATACAACAATACGTTAGAGCAAATCTTACAAACGAATGAAACAAACGAAACATTCATGAATGATAATAATATTGCACATAAAAATACAAATTAAACAAATGATCTATTGAGTCAGATCTAAGAGTATTCACCAGGATTATTGTTTTACTATGATGATGTGGCATGCTGGAGTTTGTAAAAGCTCTGAATTTCTTAATTGTGTATTACTTGCACAGCTATGCCAACGTGTCTCTTTGTGATAGAAATGCTCACATTACACATCATGTGGCACATATCAGAATAGCCGGTTCTGTAAGGAGACAGTGGTCCTCTCAAGAAAGCCTCGAAAGCTTTGGATGGATAAAGAAACAGTGCATATGTTTCCATGCTTCACCGGTCATGTTTTCTTTGATTGACTTTTGCTTTCTTGTTTTTCAGAGTCAGTTGAAGTGAAAGATCAGCTACCATTTCGAAGACTTTAGTAATACCAGTCTTTTGAACAGCAGAGCATTCAACGAAAGCGGACATATTGAGCTCATTACACAGATTTCTTCCTTCTTCTTCTGTGACGTGATTTGGGTTATTCTCACATCTTAAGTCTGTATGTGTGGCCACGAGCACAATGGGAATTTTGGGGTTGATGTTTCGAACCAGGGGTAGCCAGAAGGACTTGATGTTATAGTAAGAATCCTTATCCACCACACTGTAGCAGACGATTGTTACTAGGTTACTTGACTGACAGTTGGGTCTCACGTGAAGGTCTTCCTGTAAAAAAAAAATACACACCGTAAGAATTCTGCATCAACTTTATTCTTTTAGAAATATTCCAATCATGTAATGTTTTTTTTTTTTCATTTTGTAGAAAATCTTGAAATAAAAGAGAGTGCTCTTACCTCAATGGAGAGATCTGTGATCTGTAGCTGATGCTTGACTCCAGCCAAACTGAGATGAGTACAGTAGTTATCCATGAATACTGTGGCTGTATAACTAGGTGACAGTGTATATCCCAGAAACGAGTGAACAACAGATGTTTTTCCCACCATCCCGTCACCAAGCATAACACAGCGGAGTAAAGATCCCTTACCAGTGTTCACCATGGTTTTCATTTCAAGAGAAGAGAGCTACCAACACAAGTCTTAAAGAAAACGGTATAATTTCGTAACTTTCACATAAGTAATTTATATAGTAAGAGGCACGAATTTTTTGTCCAATGGGAAAGGTGTTTACAAAAGACGTAGGTAGCGTATGTCGGGTTCAGTGATTAGACACCCGTGACCTTGTTCGGGGTAGGTTGTTTACTCCGTCGAGTGTACGTAAGGCATTAAAATGACAATGCAGAGTTTATCTTTAGGATGTTTAAAAGTGTATTCAGTGCCGCAAATGATAACTAAATAATAGAAAAAAAACCAGGAGGTGTATTTAAGATTATCTTCAGTCTGTTGGAGAAATGAAAATCTTTTATTTTTGTAAAAGTAGTTCGTCAGCCTATCAGCCGTATACATCCCACTCTTTTTAAAAAGATTTATGTCGTTATAAGCTTTTCATAAAGTGCGCCGATAAGTTGTAGTACGGGGTAAAGCATTTGATCATTTTGTTAATTGTTAGTACGACTCCCCTTTCAGATACAATTCTTGTAAGAAGCACCATCTTGAACTGTACTAGATATAGGTAAACTAGCAAAACAACTGTTATTTGTAAAGCGATATACTCGCTATTGAAACCAAAGTTCGGAATGATATTTGATGATTTTGCCCTCAAAATCTGCCAAACTGGACACTTGAAACTTTGAATGTTATGTAAATTTTCTATTCATTTTATCTTTGTTGGTCCCATGCTGCTCATTAAAATCACCTTATTTCTTGGTGCATGTTTCGCCGCACCTTTTTGACACCAAGAAATTCAGTGAAACCTGCCAAACAAACTCATTTAGAAATAGGTAATGTTAGATAAAGACGAGGATATTCTAATTTCAAAGAATTGTTGAGCTATATTTTCTGTACCCTGTACAAAAATCTTTATCTACTTCACCTATATTTGTTAACAGATATTTCGATGCTTTATATTCTGTTACACACTACAGCTGTATATATGAATTGTTCTCATCTTTCATACATGTACATTATGTAACACTAATTCAATCCTTAGATGTTTGAAAATATTCTAAGCAAAAGGTTTCCATTATCCTGATGAATTAATTCTGTGGTAAATATTGACGAAAATGAATTATTTTTTAGCCTTATGATTTTTGGTCATTACTCAATTGGACAATATAAAAAATTGCCCGGCAATGACCTCTTGTTTGGATTGATACATATTACAAGGAGAATGGAGAGTTTGCAGGAACTATCCCCGTAAATGCGTGTGTTTGGCATCCTCTTGAGAGATTTTGGAGTTGTACAGGAAGTTATAGAAAACGCCTGATAAGGGGTGCTTCTTTGCTGATCTGGGGTATTTCCCGATTAATACATTCTGCTCCTCCTTATGGATATTCCGGAGATACCTCAAATTTTATATCTAACCAAAACAAACAGATCAGCCTCGACAGAAAAAGTGTCCTCAAGAATTATACAGATAGCACCCGAATTGTTATTGTATGACCACAATCCATAATACGGACACATTCTTTCTAACCGCAACGATGACCCAAACTCATCCAGACGTGTGTCTCGCGTTTACCTATACTATTTATACAGTGATAAAGTAAAAATTTAAAATTCTAGTTCAAAATAAATAGTAATACATGGACAGGAATGTTAAGTATTGCAGAAATGTTACGAGGATGTGCCAAATCATGGAAGGAACTTCTGCAATATTTCAATTAGCAGAACCTTGCGATGTTAGTCGTGATCTTTGGTGCAATCCTGTTTAAACTCACACAAGTGTTGAAAAGGAAAGCAATAGCGCACCTGTTAAGTAGCTTAAGTATATTTAGACTAAGGATTTAGAGCCATGTACCTAAAGACCCTAACATTATCACCTCAAGTGGTCAGTTTAGTTCTCCAGACAGGTGATACGCGTTTTCAGATTCATTTTTCACCGCTATATGTCGAGTGTTCTTACGTCGTATTTTGCAAGAATTGACAAATACTTGATTTGTTAAAGTCTGTTGGTATGTTCATATACAGGGTCTATATCTATTGCAACATTTCTGTTATGATAAGTACATGTATAGTATGACTCCTAAATGCTTCAATTTTTGGAATGTTAAAGACACTTAAATAGAGGAGCGATATAAAATGTCCAATTCATCTACGGTACAAACTTTTCTCCCAATAATTTAGAATTTTTCTTAAAATCAATAAAAAGGAATTTAGGAATATCCTCTGGTTTATTTTTTTTCTCATTCTCTTTTGTTAAGTAACCAGTCTCTTTTAGATGCAAAAAAAGGGGGGGGGAGAGAAAAATAATTTTAAACAGTAAAAAAAAAATAATAATGAATTAAAAACCGGTACAAACTGCATACATTTTAATGAAAAAATTGGCAATTACAAGGTAACTGTAAAACAAGATAACATTTCGCAATGAAAAGTGCATATTGTAATATTTCCTGGTCAATTACAAGTGATCAAAAATCGTAAATGGGTTTTTTAGATTCGCTTCATGTTCTTAACAAGATTACATACATTACTTTGTTGTCAATTGCAAGACCCACCCCCGCGCCGTGTTCTCTCCGCCAGCTCGTGAATCTTGTCACCATTAGCCTTAAAAACCTAACTAGCATGTTTGTAGACATTTATTTGACTTTTAAATAAATGATTTTTAGATATGGCGCCTATGTACTGTCAGGTAATTTCTTAGTTATTAATTAGGAGATCCTCAGAATGAAATTTAAACAAAAGACGCGGACATTTCCTGTTAGATGTACATGTAACGTACATAATGATTGCCGTCGGAGTTAATGGGAAAGTTTGCAATAAGTTTGCAATAAAAATCATTCTCAATATACATGCATTTCAACTATATTTTTCTGAATTTTTGAAAATGAATTTTAAAATATTTTGAAAATGTATAATTTGCTATTTGAAGACTTCAGTTTTTTTTTTATAGTGGAAGATTCAATGCTGTGTGTCTTTTCTTTGCGTAAAAATAAGCGTATGCTTTCTTATGTTTGATATCAAAATAACTTTGTAGTAAAAAATTATGGATTTAAAATTTTAATAGAAAAAATAAAATTAAAAAATACACAAAAGGCATATATTTCATTTCGTTCCATAGGAACAAACATAGTATGTTTAACGTATAAAAATTTTCTTTGGAAAAAGGTTTATAGGAAAAACAAATAGAGCTTTGAAAAATAATTCTTTTAAGTTAAAATTTGAATTTGATTGGTTATTGATTTTCAATGAGCAAATTTTTATATTTTACTTTTTTCTCCTGAATTCAAACAAAGTAATATTCTTGAAATTTTTATATCATTATTGAAGTGCAATGATCTTTATCTAGTTGTAAATTTAGCCTCTCTGTGTTATAAAAAAAAAAGCTTCAGTGACATGATGAAAAAAAAATTGTACGATGACCGATTAATAAATCTACTCTGTCGTAAAAATGTATTGAAAAAAAAAAAACCAACTTAAAATCAAGTGAAGCCAAATATGATTTATTTAAAGAGAAAAGTTTAATATCTGATGTTATTTATGTAAGTGCATCGACGCAGATGATGATATTCAGTACATTAATACTTGTCAGTCCATTGTGCATTGACCTAGGCTCCACTGGGGGTAAGGGCAATGAATTCATCAGTGTTGACAACTGAATCTTTTCTTAGTATATAACCAGGTAGTATTGTGTAGGTTAAATTTAACTTTGAAGATTTATTTTTAGATATTAGATTTTAAGTCGTGTTTTGTAAAGAAAATACCAAAAAATTTTAGATCAAAATAGAAATCGCGATTAGGATATCTGCAAAAATGTTCATATTGAAAAGTATTTTAAATCAATTTAAAATAAATATATTCACTTTCGTAAGAGAATTAATGTTTTCGTAGTTGTGTCTCCTTCTAGTTTGTAATCTAATTAAACTGATTTGTTTGAACACTTGAAAACGGTATCAACAGTAACAGGCCAAATCTTTACATTGTAAAACCACTGGTGAAAAAATTTGTATTTTTGTGCAACTGTTTCAAGTAGAAGATTAATGCTCTTATTTTGGGAAAAGCAAACCTGTGTTTACGATTTAGTTGTTTATTTTAAATTAATAAAACTAGTACAACTCGCCCAATAGATAAATTTCACGATTATTATATTTATACATGTAGTATACAATTTATCTTTAAGTTTTTACTTGAAATATTGTTTCATTTGATTTTTAAGTAATTTTTAATTATTAGTCGCTATATTTTCATATGTGAAAAGCTTTATATAATTTGATAACTAGTTTCAAATGTAAGATGATAACACTTTATATTGCAATATATTTGATGATGAAATTGTACAGTACTAGTATAACGTGTCCAGACAGGATTTTCTCCGTTAGCCCAGATACCAGTATTTTATGCGAAGAGAACCATTGCTCATACTAATAGTTTAATACCCATAGTAATAGCATAGATCTGTTTCCCACTTCATATGAAATTCACTCTTGTTAAAGAACTTTTTTCCTGCATGACAGGTCAAATTTCATGTTTTTATATGTCAACTCGATTTGGTTGTATAATCAAATTATCACTAGTGTACATGTATTAATATCATTTATGTTATGTTTAAATGAATAATAAACTGAAATGTTTTCTCATTAGATTTTTTTTTTCAATAAAACAAATTGTTTCACGATTTTGTAATAAATTTGATCGATAGTTTTATAAGTGTCTGAGTTTTCAATATTTGAAGTCAAAAGATTCAAAGCAATACAGCTTTTTTTTTCTGAAACGTAGGTTTAAAAATATGAAGTGTTTAAACAGTAAACTTTTGATTACCAGTTTCAACAGTATCATTTCAACATTTTGCATTGATTGTAACACTCTGTTAATAAAACTGTTTTTGTTTCAGGTAGGACTTTACTCCATCAGCAATACCACTGTTGTTTGTTAATAGCGTACCCGTGTCCAAAGTATTAAGCTTTAGATCAGCGGGTATGCTATCGAAAGTGTCATAAGAATAGTCCTAAGATATGACTTAAGAGATATCTTAGGACAAAACTTGGGATGGTCCTAAGAGAGTTCTGAAGACCGACATAGAAGCACTCTTAGGAATTTCCTAACTAGGATAGACTTACGAGATTCTTTAGACAAATCTTAAATATTCAAGCATCACAGACTA